GAGAGTCACAGCGACAAACGCGCCTTTCGGAAACAGGCTGTGGGTCAACATCACTGTTTGCGCCTGGAACACTGTAACCAGTTTCACACCCCAATCAAAATTTTCAGAGTGTAGTTCCACTGGGACGTTAGTTTGAGTACACCGGTGCACTCTCCCTGAGGTTCGACCCACTCTTACGCGCATTCCCAACCCGAAAACAAGATGGCTGAGCCAAATTTGGGCAGCGCCTCCTCGCCCTCTTCGCGAAAGGAGACGATGATGTCGGAGAGGATAGGGCGGGCGAGTGAGAACAGTCGGCGTAAGCGGAGGAAGGAGGGTAAAGGGAATAAGCATAGCAGTGGAGGAATCACACACGAAAGATCGGTGAACGCACGTGATCAGCATATTCCCTGGGTGTCTTTCACCTCCCAGCGTCCCTGCGCCAAGCCACGCCCTCTGCGTCCACGCCACTGCCTTCGCTCCGCTCCCGGCGCCTCGATCCTCGCTGTGCTGCAGCACGCTTCACGCCGCATGGCACCCACCACACCGCCAGCCACCACACCGCCAGCCACCACACCGCCAGCCACCACACCGCCAGCCACCACACCGCCAGCCACCACACCGTGCAGCGCACTGCACGGAAGCACGCAGCAGCGCGGCAGCCGCCAGATGCCGTCCTGTCGCACCAAAGGACGTCCCACAGCGGTGCGAGAGAGACAGAGCGACCAAGCGACCCTTCGGGCTCGGGCGGCTGCACACCTCGGGCCCGGTTTTGCACCGCTTCTCTGAAGGCTGATTCCGAGAGTCGTTTTCGTCGCTGTCTCTCTCTCCCACACCGATACGGGACGCCCCATTTTTGTGCCGAAAAGAAAGGATCTTCGAGACATTTGCAGGCTGTGCGTAAAATAAACATAAAACTAAAAAGTAGTTTTCTCCTTTCTTGGAAAGCGCATTCCCGGAGCCATGCTCCGGAGGCCGGATATGGCGGGGAAGGTACGCCTTTCCGGTAAACAGCCGCCCGATCCGAGGTCCCGCGGTCGTTTCCGCGCGGCCGGCCTGCCTATCTCGCTCGCCAAAGAGGTGATGGCTACGGACTCAGAGTCGTCAAGTGGCACGGCAGGAAGGCGGGCGGGGTGGGGCGGCGTGCGCGCGGCGCTGGGTCGAAATCACGTGCTCGGCCGAACGCATCACAGCATTCAATGAGTGAGTGTGGGGAGGCCCAGGGAGGCCCCGGGAGGCCATGGCCCCGGCCAGGTCGTTCTGCGGCGGGCTAACACGGCCGCCCTTGAGGCCTGGATGTCCTCCGCCAGGACGTCCTCCGTCAGTGTGTCCTCCGCCACACACGCGCCGTCCAACAGTAACTTGGCGGCGAGTTTGAAAAGGCGGCAGATTGGTGGCGGCCAGCGCGAATACAATTCCGTATCGCGGCAGCGGCGGACTGACGCTCCGCCTCTCTCGCACTCGTGGGGCGTCCCGTGTGGGTGCGAGAGAGACGGAGAGCTGAAAACGACTCTCGGAATCAGTCTGCAGGCGGGCGGCGGCGGGCGGCAGCCTGCACAAGAGGCGCTCATCGAAAAGGGTGGCGCTGGGGGCAAGGGGAGGGGGAAGGGGGGGGGAGGTGCATCGCGAGGCCAGCGGTGAATATCAATGAAGGCGGGAGACTCCCGAGAGCCCGCCGCGCTGCCCGCTGCCGCCCCGACGGCCCCGAAGGCCCTGACGGCGCTAATGGAAAAGCACCGGCGCGGATGAACGGATCAAAAATGCACCGCCGCCCAAATGCATCCTCACCCGATTACGGCGACGGCTCATTCTGGAGATGTGGGCCACGGCCGGGCGATATCTCACCCCGGGGAGTTCCTTTCCAGTGCGGTGGCCGGGGCCGCGAAAGAAAAAAGGGACGGGAGGAAAAAAAGGGCAGACGACGCCGGTCCCACTCCAGCGCACAATCCGCACAAGAGACAACCAATCGTATTCGTCGTGTGAGCGCGCTTGGAAAGTAGTCAGGGGCTGGTTCGCGCCGAGGCGTGACTCTCTCCGGGGAGCTCTGCCACTTGAGGACGGCCCTAAATGTCACCGACAACAACAACAACAACTGCGGTGGCAACGTAGCCAAGACAAACAACAATAACATGACATTGGCGCGTCGAACGGTCGCGGTACTTTTTGCACACACAACAGCCTCCATGTTTGCCCAAGAGGAGGCAGGAGATGCAAAGGCAGTGGAGGAGCGGCCTTGGCCGCGGACGCCGGAGTACCAGGCGATCTCATGCAGTAGTATAGGATGCCCACTTTCACGGGTCGCTATTGCCTATTACCAACCCGCGGGGTCACTCGCATACTGGCCTGTGAGAACGAGCTACGAAGAAGATAGCAGTATGGATACCGGGACGAAAACGAGCTTCCAAGATGGGTGCCCGCGGCAATGGGCCGCCCGTACTACTGACGCCGACCAGGTTGCTCGTTGCCTGCTTGGGTGCCTCTTCCTCCACGAACCTCCACCTGGCCCTGGCAGCCGAGGGGGTAGACGAACAGGTGCCTGCGACGCCCGCGACGCGCCGGCTGCCTACCCGCCGCTCCGCAGGCGCAGGCACCACCAGCAGGCTGGAGTCGTCGCTCTGTCTCTCTCTCACCCTCACGTGGCGCCCCGTGCTGGCGCGAGAGAGACAGAGCGACGAAAAGGACTCCCGGAATCAGTCCCAGCCGCCCCAGGCCTGCCAATCGCCTGTCAGCCTCGGATTGCTTATATTCCACATGAGGGGAGCGGTTGCCACCGCGGAGGTGTATGCAACCTTCATTGGGTGCCAGCCGGGTTTGGCTGACAGCGACCTCGGAGGGCCCGCCGGGCCCGCCAGGCCCGCCACGCCCGCCACGCCCGCTAGGCCCGCAGTGACACGTGAGTGAGAGAGAAAGGGGGGCTTCCCCGCGCGGCCGGCCGTCTATCCATACGATCCATTCTCTGCCCGTCCGTGCGCATTACGGGCCCGAGGCAGAGAGAGAGTGAGAGGGAAAGTGAGAGAGAGAGAGAGAGGGGGGGGGACGTGACGCAAGCCTAGGTCACCACCAAGGGCCCGTTTTAACCCCGTTTTCTTACTCCGGAGACTCCAGGTACAAGCGGCAGTCCCCAGGTACTGCCACCCGTTCGATTGAGCGGCGTGTCAGGGCGAGGGGGTAACCACTCGCGTAATACCCTGTACACCAAAACCGTGTATTACGCGTAATACACGTGATCGTAATACCATTTTTGGGTCAAATGTGCCAAATTTTGGTATTTTAAGGCCGTAATACACGTGTAATACACCGTGACAGCGTAATACCGAGTAGTCTGTACACGATTTCTTGAAGTGTTTACCCCCTCGTGTCAGGGCTCTCGAGCTCAGAGCCCGTCACCACTGCGAACAAGGAAGCGAAATGCAGCTGTCGGCGGACAAGTTCGGATTCGGGTCGAGGTGCCCAGCACACTGATTTCCGAGTGTCGTTTTCGTCACTCTGTCCCTCTCGCTCCGGTAAGAGACGCCCGGTGAGTGCGAGAGAGACAGAGCGACGAAAAGGACTCTCGGAGCCAGTGTGCTGCCCGCATCGAACCGCCGTGATCGGTGCGAGGTGCCCGGGGCCGCGCCTGGGAGGGGCGAGGGGTGAAGGGGGGAGGCTAGGAGGTGCTGCGCTCTGCGCTGCTGGGCTCTGTCCACTGCGGGGGGCTTTTTATTTTGTGACGTGTCGATTTGGGCAGTTGCCAATTTTCTTTTATTGTTCTCGGCAGGGCTATTAAAACCACGGACGCGATGCGGGCTGCGTGGAAGGGGCGGAGAACAGAGAGGGGGGAGGGGGAGGGAGGGTCCCGCGCGTGATAAAATGTGTGCAGCACGGTGAGATGGGTCTGCGAGATGCACTTTATCAGGGGAAAGGGCGCGTCGGCTGATAGAGCATCGCAAAAGAAAGTGTGTGTGTGTGAAGGTGTGTGTGTGTGCTTCTACTCATTGCACCTACAGTGTAAACGCAACCGAACCGACTCCCTCCCCTCCCCTCCTTGGAGGCCAGCATGCCCCTCCTCGAGGTAAGCACGAAGGCGATCCGGCGCGCCGCCCTCCCCGGCACGAGTTTGGTGTCGGGCTGTGGGGCCCACACTGTGGGGCCTACACAGTGGGGGTGACACAACGAACAAGGCGAAGGCGGTGAGCAGGACGAGGCGTGCTAACGGGCCTAACGGGCCTAGCGGGCCTAACGGGCCTAGCGGAGGGACGGGGCGGTGACATCTCTGGCGTCGCGGCGGCGGAGGGCGGGCGCGGCCGGCGGGTCGGCGGGTCGGGGACGGGGCATTCCAGCTCAAAATCCAGTTTATTGGAATACCAGGCCGCGGATGTGACCAGCCGAAAGCCGACGAGCGGCGAGGACGTGTGACGTCACACTCGTTTCTCGCAATTTCGGCCCCCGTTCCCTTTCAATCAGATTGGTCCTCCCTCCCGTTTGTATCGTCCCCTCGCAAGGCGCAACAATGTCGTAAATGTCTGTGCAGCCAAGCACCCTGGTTCGAGTCCCCCTCGGTCCTTAATTTTCATGTCAGCGAAAATTTTAGTGTACCAACCATCTGTCTCCAGACTTAAAAAAAAAAAAAAAACACAATCAGCAAACGGCTTGTTAACTTCCCTCAAGATAAAGTGATTTGTGATTCTTGGTTTTGGCATTTTTTGTTGCAGTGTGCTCGCTTTCCTGCACACCCTCGCTCTAGAATCCGGGAGGTTTTTCTCGAAGGCTGTCCCTGACCGGGTCGATCCAGGCTGCTGCCTTTCTCCTATCCTATCAGATGTGGCTGGCTGCTGGCCTGTCTCAATTCGTGTGGTGAGGCGGGGGAGCCGGGGGCAAGGTCCTACCTGCACGGCCAGTTTTTTCTCAAACCAGGCTAAAAATAAACCCTGCACTGCTGCATTGGAAAGAGGATGGATTTACAGCAAAATAAAAGCCAGGAAGAAAATTTGATTTTCCGTTTTAATTTGTCGTATGTTTGCAACGTTTCTGTTGTCAGATGGTTACTGATGAACACTCATACAAATAACAACTGAACCAATGGTCTAAGCGTCAAGGAAACGTATCATAAATAAGTTTAAGACTAAAATAAGGCTCTATGTACAGTACAAACAGAGTTACAGTTTCTTTGCAATTATTTACAAACAACAGGCAGAGAGCACTCAGTTCAACACTAAAGTTTAAAGCTCCTAAAGGTTTAATTAATAGTCAATTAACTCGTCTTGTAGCCAACCCTATGCGTGTTTTAAAAAATATATAATTTAACATTATTGATCCCCTGTTAGGTTTTTGTAAAAAAATATATATATATATATACACATCAAGATTTAATTAGGAATAATTATCACATATTTACAATCGACACTGGTGCCTTTACGTATGTTCAGACTTTGGTCACAGCAAGTACAGCAGACGACAGGGATGCGGCAAAGGAATTTCGTTGTTTACTGCCGTGTACACTGGAAAAAAAACGACACTCCTTGAAGTTGGCCTTATCTCACATCAGAGACGACATGTATAGTCCGATCCAGTCAGCTGGGACTGGTCAGAGTTCAGCCACCGCACAAAAAAGGAGGGGGACGGGGCGGCTCGAGTTGAATCAGCCTTGACTCATCGTACCCCCGAATAAACAGAGACAGACAGAGTTCCAGAGGGACAAGGAAAGTTGAGGGAGTCAATCCATCCACGTCGCCTCGGCAGCATTTCTCATTTTAAAGCGGCCACGTTGAGTCCGGCATTTAGGCCGACGGTTAAACACATCTGCTGGACAATAAATAGGCAAGGCGCGAGCATCCGCCCACCAGATGCTGGGGATTACAGGTGCAGGAACAAACCCCCCCAACGAGACAAGAACGCCTGCTCTGCTACGGCTTTTACTTAGTGCGTAGCCCCATTTTCGAAATTTTTTAATACATAAATTATTACTACACTGATATGGGAATCCGTCACAAATAAATAGTGAAACAAAGTTTACTCGTCAGACGGGGTTCGAAACCAGGGGCGGTCGCATACGGAAGCCGCTACCGTTTGGCACGACACTGTACATCGTCTGAGCAGAGGAGCGGGACTTCCCTGCGACCGCCGATGGTTCAACCACCGGGCATCACAAGGCGCATTCTTAAATCCTTTCAAAGTGTTTCAGACTCGCGAAGTAGAAAATTGCACGTTTTTACAAAGTATTTTGAGCACGCGTGCGTTTGCGAAGAAAATTGTTGTCAAATTTAAGAACGAAGCAGGACGGCATAAGCGGTTACTGGTTTTCGTAGCAAAGACATGGGTGGTTTCTAAGAGATACCTGGGAAAAACCAGAAACTGGTTTCTTTCGGGAGTTATTTGTGATACAAAAGAAATGGTGTGACGTCATGCTTGTCGGCGAAGGCCTTGGCAGTGTGGGCCGCGCCTAGATGAAGTCGGACACGAACACGCGGTGCAGGTCGGGCTGGCTGAGGTGGTGGCTGCACACGTCGCCGGTGTCCAGGTAGGACACGGCCGCGTCCTGCAGCGCCAGGTGCAGCGAGTCCAGGGACAGCACGCGCGTGACGGCGGCCTTGCGCTGGGCGTGCGTCACGCGGCGCCGGCTGGGCGGCGTGGCGTTGGCGGCGTTGTTGCGACCCGCCGCGGCGTGGCGCTGGTAGCCGTGGTGGCGCTGCGAGCCGCGCTGCTCGGCCCGCCGGTGGTGGTCGTGCCCGATGAGCGGGTCCCTGCTGCCGCTGGCCGACGGCACGGACGACATGGAGGACATGGACACGCTGTGCGGCGGCGGGCGCGCGCCGGACGGGTAGTACCGGCGGCCCGGCGCGTCGTCCTCAGCGTCGTCGTCCAGGCCCACCGAGCTGCTGCTGGACGCGGCGCGCCGGTGGTACGCGTCCCGGGCGTCCTGGTGCGCCGGCGCCTGCCAGCCGCGCTCCAGCTGCTGGACAAGAAAGGGGAGGTTCAGGACAGAGTATCACACATCGCGCAGTGGGCCAGAAGACCGGTGGAGGTGGTCGAAATCCCGGAGGCGTTTTGAGCTCCAGAGTCGCTAAATAGGTCTCGGACCGGACGTGTGACCCCACCAATGGATTGCTTTCAGAACGAGGAATCCGTTGGTGGGGTCACACGTTTGGTTCGAGTTCTGTTCAGCGACTCTCCAGCTCAAAACGCGTCTGGAGTTTTTGCCGCCCGCGTCGGTCTGCTGACCTACTCTCTCGCACTCACGGGACGTTCCGTCCACGCGTGAGAGAGACAGAGCAATAAAACACCGATCGGAGCCCACCAAAAATAACTCTCTGGGCCGAGATTGGAAATTTGGCGCCGCTAAACGGGGCGGTGGGGCGTCGCTGAAGCTGCGCCGAGGCGGGCGTGGAGCGGCGTGGAGGCGGGCGCTACCGGACACTGACAAATCTTGGCGCTCTGGCGGCAGTGCCCGGACCACTCCCCGCCGCCCACACCTCGGCCTCCGCGCCTGTCCATCTCCACAGCCTGGCCGACGCTGGTACACCGCTAAATCGATAATGGGACGAATCCAGGGCCACTCCCCCATCCCCTCTGCGCCACCAAAAGTCCCCATCCAAATTAGAGCCAAATAACATTTTTCCTCTCCGTCCTCCCTTCCCCCCCCCCTCTCTCTCTCTCTTCCCCCCCCCTTCCCCCTTCCCCGCTGCAACAGATGGCCTTGTCTGCCGTCCGGCCCCGAGCAGAGGGGTAATCATTATTAAGCTTCAGGTTGCCCAGGTGAGAAAAGAAAAAAAAAGGGGGCGGGATACTGAAGGGGATCATCGACGCTAACGCGGTCATCAGCCGCATACACTGCGATCCGTCTCTGCCTCACTCTCCCTCTCTCTCTCTCCCTCTCCCTCTCCATCCCTCTCTCTCTCTCTCTCTCTCTCTCTCTCTCTCTCTCTCTCTCTCTCTCTCTCTCTCTCTCTCTCTCTCTCTCTCTCTCTCCCTCTCCCTCTCCCTCTCTCTCTCTCTCTCGCCGGCCTCTGGAAGGGTTGACGGCCTCGGGCGACTCTGACTGCGACACATATTCTTTCGTTTTCACAGCGGACTGCCCCCCTCCCCCCCCCACTCCGCGCCCTTTTCTCTTAATTGAAAGCATTTCCGTTATTCTTCCGGCGCCACAAAGGGAATGCCCCCGTGCATTCTCATTCATACACTCCAAAAGAAAAGGGAGAGGGCTTTAAAGGGCTGCGCGGCGGGCCGACGGCGGGCTGTACAGGGACAAAGGGAAGGAAGGGTGACTTTGACTGTGCACGCCCAGCCTGTGGCGGCGCCGCCCTGAGAACCTGGTCCGTGACCCGCCCCTGAGACGCACTCTCAGAAACAGACACAGACAGACTGACAGACAGGCAGACGGACAGACTGTCAGAAAGACATGCAGGCAGACAGAAAAGGCCCGGGTTCGTGTAAGCGCTTCCCAAGCTGGGTAGTTCCCCCCCCCCACTTGGATTCATTTTCCTGCTCGTCCAGTGTGTTGACGGGACGGGGGCGGCGGCGACGGCGGTCCCCGCACAGCCGCGCCCACAAATTACAAAAAGCAACCCGAACACATAAATATTTGAGCGGGCATCTCAATTTTAAAACAAACCGCGAGCACAGTGTGCACACAGCCCCGGGCGTAGCGGGCGCCCCGCCTGGCGGCCTGCAAAGGCGGCGGGGCCCGGGGGCGGCAGGGGGCGGCCGGGGGCGGCGAGGCGAGGCCGCCTCGGAGGCGGCGGGGCGCGGGCAGCCCATGGACGCCCCGCCGGGTCCCTGCCTAACTTTCTGTCCACCCTGGAGGCCCGGCGGCCCGGCGGCCCGGTGTGCCGGGCGCCCTCCATGTCCCCTCCCAGGGAGCGGCCCGCCCCTGCCCGCGCTACAATGGGACTGCCCCCGACCCACCACGATGCAGGCAGCCCCACGCTTCGCCTGCGCGTCTTTTGTAACCCCATCAGCCGGCATCAGCCCCGTCGGCCGTTAGGTAGCCCTCCCTCACCATTTTCCGCGTCGTCTGCAAACAGGCGGGCGGACGGACAGGAAGACAGACCGACCAACAGACAGATAGGCCGACCAGGTTAGCCAGTAGACAAGCAAGGAGGCATGCAGTCGAGCAGGCAGACAGACAGACAGACAGATAGACAGACAGATAGACAGGCGGACGGACAGACAGACAGACAGGCGGGTTGCATATCCCTCGCCATTCATCGCCTCAGCGAAGGCGGCTGCCACGCGACACCGCGCCGCGCCACGCTCCGTCATGATTATTTTTCAAGTAGTCGCCGAACGCAGCGCGCGCCGTGAAATATGAAATCCACTCGAGCTGCGCGAGGCTGCCGAGGCCGCCGAGGCGGCGCGGACCCCAAAGCCGCTGCTGCGCGCTGCACCGCCCGGCAGACCTTGATGGTCCTTATTGCCTCAATAAATTGCGGGGAGGGGGAGGGGGTGCGCGAGAGAGAACGAGGCAGAACGAGAACGCCGCCCCCGACGTAGGCAACCCTTCGACCGCTGGCCGCAGCCAGCACGTCTCGAGCCCCTCAATGCGACCTTCATGCCCGGAGCAGCAGACTGATTCCGAGAGTCATTTTCGTCGCTCTGTTTCTATCACACCTATACGGGACGCCCCATGAGTGCGAGAGAGACAGAGCGACGGAAACGACTCTCGGAATCAGTCTGCAGTGCACGGTGGAACCAACGGGCGACGAATCTATCGATATCCTCATACGTGAGATTCCGCGGGCCTGTTTGATGACCATGCAGCTCGTAAAGTGCCCAGGGTGTCCGGTTAAACGGGCCCTCTGGGCACCCTAGACGAGCGTGAATGGACACTTAGCACTGCCTAGCCCGGCCCCATCCAGAATGCCGAGAAGAACGTGGCGCCGGCGCGGCGGCAGTGCAGACCGCGCCGGCGGTTGCTTAATTGCTTACACAACTAATTGCCCAAACATTTACCCCCTCCACACCCTTTAAACCATGGATAACCAGACCAGGCTGCGGCCGGCCCTGCGACGCTTAGCGCCGAGGCCCCCCCTCCCTCCCCCCGTCGCCATCTCACACGCAAGTAGTACGACAACTATCTCCTCCAGGCTGGAGTGTCGTCATCATTGCCGGCCGGGCCGCTTTTTTCCAGTGGCTGGAATGGCAGACGAGCTGGAAGTGGTGTTAGTGGGGCCGCGCGGGGCCGCGAGGGTGGCCCCCACACTTTGTGGCGCTGATACGGCCAGCCCGTGTCCCCGCGAGGGGGGCGGGGGAGAGGGGGCAAGCACGGCGTCCTGGCAGCCTTCCATCCCAGCCCCCCTCCCCGACGACGCCACGACGCACACCCCGCGCGCGGGCTTCATGACCACAACCGAAAATCATTTGGCCTCTTTCATTATTATTGGGCTTGTGTCTGCCAAAATGTAATTGGAAGAAGAGCAAGCGTCCCCTCGATCACGTCGCGTCCCCCCTCCCCTTCCTCTTCCTTTTTCCGTGGCCGCCCGAGCTAAATCAGAGAGCCCGGCCGCCGCCGCCGTGCTTTTGTCGTGACAGGTCGCTCTGTGGCGGCGGGGCGGCGGGGCGGCGGGGCGGCGGGGCGGCAAAGAAAAACATCCGACTTAAAAACGAGGGGAGAAGGCGTCGAAGAAGGCGGTGGCGCGAGGACTCGCAAAAAGCGGAGGCCTTGACGTGACACCGCGGGCCGCGGCGCCGAACAGCGAGACGCAGGATTCGGTTTGGAGCCCCAGCCACCTGGACGGCCGAGCGCGATAAGATAAAACCTACAACCGCTCGATTTGCAAATCGGAAATTTCGTGGGGGGATTTTTTCAAGAGTGTAGAACAGGTCCTATTTTCTCCATGCTTAGCATACTATGCGTGACAAAAGTAAGCGACCCCTCCGGCCGGGCCTGGCGATACCCCGCGCCCAGGCCGCTGCCGAGACAGGCGGACTCCTCGGCAGATGGACCGACGCAGGGCTGCACTGTTGTCAAACTATCACTGCAGGTGCCGTGAGGGGGAGGGGGGCAGCATGTGCCAAAGTGCAGAGGCAGAGGACCCGGCCTGTGGCCTGGGAAGTCCGATGCGCAGGCCACTGGACTTGGCCTGGAATTTCGGTTCAAATAGTCGTAGAACAAAATTTCAAGATATCACTGGACTCGCAGCTTCGCAAGGAACCCATTTCCACTCAATTCGAAATCCAAAAATAAGTTGTTTGAAAATTTTTATTTTGAGTCAAGGGGCAATAAATCAGCTTGTCAGCACCCTCACGCCGGTGCAGCCAGGCAGTGAATGAGACCCGCGACACAATACGTAGCCTGCAGGCAACCCGGCTAATTCTAGAATGCAAATTTTCTAGGGCGTTATTTTGACAAGTTGGGAATGTTGGCCACTGTATTGAGGACTCAATTTCCGACTTATACATGTAAAAATTAATTTTCTAAGATCATTTTGATGAAGTAAGAAAAAGTTTACTAGATACCTTACAATGAAATAATCAGCTCAGATGAGACGCACTTGGGAGCTATGCCGAAAATCATTTGGCCTCTTTCATTATTATTGGCTTGTGTCTGCCAAAATGTAATTGGAAGAAGAGCAAGCGTCCCCTCGATCACGTCGCGTCCCCCTCCCCTTCCTCTTCCTTTTTCCGTGGCCGCCCGAGCTAAATCAGAGAGCCCGGCCGCCGCCGCCGTGCTTTTGTCGTGACAGGTCGCTCTGTGGCGGCGGGGCGGCGGGCGCGGCGCGGGCGGCAAAGAAAAACATCCGACTTAAAAACGAGGGGAGAAGGCGTCGAAGAAGGCGGTGGCGCGAGGACTCGCAAAAAGCGGAGGCCTTGACGTGACACCGCGGGCCGCGGCGCCGAACAGCGAGACGCAGGATTCGGTTTGGAGCCCCAGCCACCTGGACGGCCGAGCGCGATAAGATAAAACCTACAACCGCTCGATTTGCAAATCGGAAATTTCGTGGGGGGATTTTTTCAAGAGTGTAGAACAGGTCCTATTTTCTCCATGCTTAGCATACAAGGGTCCGTAACGCGCCAAATCCCAGGGCCGGCCGAAGCCATTGCTCTATCTCTGCTTACGTGCTGGTGCAGTGTCGGGGCAGAGCGGTGCGGCCCCGAGGGGTGTCCCGTAGGGTGGCCCGTGGGGTGGGTCGTAGGGTGGCCCGTAGGGTGTCCCGTAGGGTGTCCCAGGGCGTGCCCCGAGGCCGGTCCCGGACCGTGGCCCGGCGCGTGGCTCGGAAGGTGGCCCTGAGGGTGTGCTTGGAGCTGGCCCGGGTGAGGGCGTCCTTGCGGGTGCCCGTTCGGGTGACGCGAACGCCGAGGCCCGTGCTGGCCGTGCTGGCCGTGCTGGCCGTGCGGCGGCCCGGGGGGTTGGTGCTGGAGGTTGCGGTGGCCGTGGTGCCGGTGGCTGCCGTGGTGGTGGTGCGAGGGGTGCCCCTGCCGTCGGCCGGGCGGTGCGGCGGGCGGCGGGTGCCGGCCGGTGTCCAGGTCGTCGAGTTGGCAGCCGCGGATGACGTCGTGGTAGCTGTAGATACCTCTGCCGTCGTCGTCCGAGTCCAGGGTCCGGCCCGATGCCGTCTTCTTGAGCTGCTGCTTGGGCTGCTTGGGCGGCTCGGCGCGTGCCGCGCTGTCATCGAGTGGCGGCGCGGTGCTGTAGAACTCGAGCAAGTCCGCCGTGGTCAGGTGGTCGCGGAGGTCCACCTCGTGGAACCCCTGTCGCTTCTTGTACGCGGGGGGCGGCGGCGGGGGCGGCGGTGGCGGCGGTGGCGGGCGGAAGCATCCTCGGCTCACCGCCTCCAGGGCGGCCTGCTGCGCCGCGGGCAGTGGGGGCGGCGGGGGCGGCGCGGTGCTGAGGTCGGGTCCGCGCGGCTTCTTGCTGAGCTTGTGGTAGCCCTGCACGCCCTGCGCGGCCTGCGCGGAGTGCTGGTAGAACTCGAAGTCGTCGTTGGCGGCGGTCGTCACGGAGCAGCCCGACGACAGCGTGGCGTAGATGGGCTCCTCGTCGTCGTCGTCCTCGTCGTCGTCATCGTCGTCGTCGCCCGCCTCGTCCATGGACGGCTCCGTGGCCTCGGCGTCGGCCTCGTCGGCCAGGTTGCGCCGCAGGTGCGCCAGGTCGTCAGAGCCGAAGCGACGCCGGAGGAGGCCATCCTTGCCGTCGCGGACCTCCCTGGCGTCCAGCTGCTCGCAGCTGGCGGACTGCCCCGCCGAGTGGCTCAGCGGCACGGCCTCCTCGTCCTGCGGGGGCGTGGCGGCGGCCGCGGGGGCCACGGGGGCGGCGAAGTGCTGGTGCGGCAGGGGTGGCGAGTGCAGAGTGCCTTCGTCGGGAACGGACGGGCCCTGCGCGCGGAAGAAGCCCCCGTTGTGCACGATGACGGGCTGGTTGGAGTGCACCGGCACGTAGGTCGTGCCCATCTGCATGTCTGCAACACGACCGGGGGGAGAGAGGTGTCACTACACTGTACTTCACTGTCGTTGCTACGGGAAATAACTCTCTCTCTCTCAAAAAAAAAATCTTACGTAAGGTACAAAATATAGAGCTTGGTACACGCGGGATTAGTTCGAAAATTTCAAACTAATTTTTATTCAAAAATTTTTGTATGCTCAAATTTTTACATAAGACCAAAAATAGTTTGTCAGATTTTGATAGTGTGCGCGCCAAACCCAAGCCGGAAGGCTGTCAGATAAGCGAATAAACTGTGCACGTACCACGCCGCCGTCGGTAGTTGTGCACGATGGGGATGTGGCCGTCCAGGCTGGTAAACAGCGACCCATTCGTGATGGGGAACTTTGGGTGGTGAACGTTCTGGTTCTGCAGCTCGGCCTGCTGCTGCTGCTGCGGTGGCTGCAGGAGGTTGTCCGCCTGCTGCTGCAGCTGCTCCTGCACGGCGTGCCCCATTAGGTGTACCTGCGACTGTGACTGGTACAATTGTTGCGGGGACGGCGGGGGCAGTTTCGGGGGCGGTAGGTGGTGGTGGCTGTTAGCCGCCGCCCCCGACTGCTGCTGCTGCTGGAATTGCTGCTGCTGCCGCAGGGCCTGCGTGACGCCCTCCAGGTCGTAGGGCCGGAATTTCCCTCCGTGGGCTGTAACAGTGTAGCAGTGGAAAAGAGAATTAGCGGACGAAACGGCGCGAGATTTACTCTGGCTGCGCTTACGGCGGGCCGCACAGTGGGCCAGAAGACCGCCTCGGTCAAAATCGCGGATGCGTTTTGAGCTCCAGTGTTGCTAAATGGGACTTGAACCGAACGAGTGACCTCACCAATGGATTCCTCGTTCGGAGAGCAATGCATTGGTGGGGTCACACGTTCGGTTCGAGTCCTGTTTAGCGACTGTGGAGCTCCAAACGCGTCCAGAGTTTTAGCCGCTGGCGCCGGCCTTCAGGCCCACTGAGCACCCCCTCCGTCTCCCGCCTCCCCCACGCATTTGATTCCGCGACAAAAAGGAGCAGTCGGAGATTGACAGACTGTTAATAGCGGTGGGAGGCGGGGGATGCTAACGGGGTCCTTGAGGTACGCGTCCCCCCCCCCTCTTTTCCCCAGGGGCGGACCACCACGACGATGGAGAGGGTTAAGACAAGGCCAGCGAGGGAGTCACGGAGGGAGGGCCGGGGTGACAGAGGGTGACTGGAGAAATGTGTGGGGGCCGGGGTTGGCCCGGGTTGAGCCGGGCGTGCGTCCTGCTACGCGGCGGCGTGGCGGCGGGGCTGCGGGGGCTGCCGGGGCTGCGGGGGCTCTACGCAGCGCGCATCCCAGAGCGACCTCTTCAGGGACGCGTTGCGCGCACCGCCATTTTCTTCGACTTTGAATACGGAACGGTTACCCTGCCCGTACTCTTCAAGATGACGACGCTGCTGCGGCGATCATCACCGTTCGGATTTTACTTGGAGGCAAATTTTGAGCGTTTTGAATTAAAGGACGGCGGGAAGAGAATTCAATTTTGAAACGACGCCACACGAGATAAGCGACCAGTTCCTCTCGAGTTTCATTAGATTTCGGCCCCCCGGTGCTTCCGTGCGGGGCCCAGATAATCTCGCATGTTCCGTTGTGTTGAATTTCTACTCGCAGCAGGGAAAAAAAAGGACTACGGGGGAGAGCGGCGCGGCGCTGTGTTGCGCTGTCAGATGGGATTGCTGTGGAAGCGGACCTTTGAGTGGCCGGTGACCCCCGCCCCTCCCCCACCCCTTCCAGGCCATCCGTCGGGTTCTAAAGCCTGCGACGCACTCGGACGGATAAAAAGTTAAGCAGAGGACAGGAATGTCCGATATATCTGATGCTGGGGCGCCCGCTCCGTCGCTGACTCTCTGACCCTCTCCTTGTAGGGCTCGGGGCCGGACAGAAGGACGGCGGCGCGCAGCCTGCGCGGCAAGGTGCGGACCGGACCGTTTCGGCGCAATTTCGCGCCCGGCCAACCGTACTTGTCGCGAAGCGCCATGGCGCTGACGTAGACCGGAGCGGGCTCACAGTGGGCCAGAAGACCGGCGCGGGTGGCGAAAACTCCAGACGCGTTTTGAGCTGCAGAGTCGCTAGGCAGGACTCGAACCGAACGTGTGACCCCACCAATGGATTCCTCGTTCGCAGAGCAATCCATTGGTGGGGTCACACGTTCGGTTCGAGTCCTGCCTAGCGACTCTGGAGCTCAAAACGCGTCTAGGGTTTCGGCCGCCTGCGCCGGCCTTCCGGCCCACTGTGGGGCGGCGGAGAGGGGCGCTAAGCGGGGCCGCCCGGACGGCGAGGCCGGCCGGCTGAAGGCAGGCTGAAGGATGGGGAAGCTCGGGGCGCGCTGCAGCGTCACGGAGGTTTGGGAGGTGTGTTAGGGAGACTTGACGGATGGCGAGGTGCGTGGCCGTGCCTGGCCGGGCGGGGGGAGGGGAGGGGTGAAGGATGGGTCGCGCTTCCGTCGCGTCAAGTGCACTGCCAGCATGGCGGCGCGGCGCGCCAGGCCACCGCCAGCACCGCCAGCACCGCCGCGGGGACGACCAGACGACGCCATCCCTTGTGCGTCAATTTCTCTGAGTGCAGTTTTATGCCCGGCCCGCTTGGTTCGCCTGCTCTTTCCTTGGACACGGCAGAACGACCTGCCTGTCCCGCTTCGCCTCCGGGGCGCGTTGCCTCCACGGCCCCTTTGGGCAGCAAAAACCCCGGCCAGTGATCCGAGGAGACCCCGGGTCCCGCTTTTCGAAGCGCATCTGTGTACCTTCCCAGGCGGGGAATCCGCCGCAAACGGCAGGGGAAAAAGCGGATCATTTAACGTCATCTCTGCAACTGTTTTGGTGCGGCGAGCACAGCAGTGCCGGTCGTTGGCTCGACGCGACAGACCTGACCTTTTCTACTCGCGTCATGTAGAGTGTGGGGCCCACAATAACGGCTGGATTTATCGCCAGAAATTTGGCCGAGCGATCCACGCCACTGCAATCTGGGCCTCGGGGCGGAGGGCCTGGGCGGCCTGGCCGGGGGCAGCGCCACGCCACGCCACGCCAAGCCAGGCCTTTGGAACGGCCTCACGTCGCGACCAGCACGACCGCCATGCCACTGTCATTTCGGCAGACAGCTGCCGGGCTACAGATGTTTGAATATGTGCTTTTGATAGCGTACGTGGCGCTGCTGGGCCTGGTGGCCCTGGTGGCTCTCGTGGTCCTGGTGCACAGTGGGCCAGAAGACTGGCGGAGGCGGACAAAACTCAAAATGCGTTTTGAGCTCCAGAGTCGCTAAACAGGACTCGAACCGAACGTGTGACCCCACCAATGGATTGCTCTCCGCACGAGGAATCAATTGATGGGGTCACACGTCCGGTTCTAGGCCCATTCAGCGACTCTGGAGCTCAAAACGCGTCCGGGATTTTGACCGCCTCCACCGGTCGTCCGGCTCACTGTGCGAAGCGGTGCTCAGACGCGAGGAGACAGCGATGGGAAGGAAAGGGGGGAGTTGGGGGTGAATATTGATTAATGGCATTAATTTTATTACTTTGGCCGTGACGGGGAGGCCCCAATTTGAAGGGCCGACCGCAGGCTTGGCTGGACCTTCGCCCTTTGGTGCTGGAAGGGGTTGACGGCCGTCCGACACAGTGGGCCAGAAGACCGGTGGAGGCGGCCAAAACTCTAGATGCGTTTTGAGCTCCAGAGTCGCTAAATGGGGACTCGAAGCGAACGTGTGACCACACCAATGGATTGCTCTTCGAACGAGGAAGCCATTGGTGGGGTCACACGTTCGGTTCGAGTACTGCTTAGCGACTCTGGAGCTCAAAACGCATTTTGAGTTTTGGCCGCCTCCACTGGTCTTCTGGCCCACTGTCCGACGGCACTCCATCTCGGCCAGCAGGCCTGCTAGGGAAAGGGACGGGCCTCCGCCGAGTTGGCTAACTGGACTTGATGGAGGTGTAAAGAATTTTTATGACTCCGGAGAAGCCTCAGCGGGTCTTGACGCGGGCGGGCGCGTCGCGGTGGTTCCCTCCGGGGTCCTGGCGGCGTCCTGAGCCTGCGGGGTGCGCCCAACAGGACCTCCAGATCACGAAAACCACCTCGTTACAGTGGGCCAGAAGACGAGACGAGAAGTCTAGAGTTTTGGCCGCCTGCGCCGGTTATCTGGCCCACTGCGCGTCGTCAGCACGCTTCATCCATGGAGGTGCAAAGTGTTACAGTTATTACGACTTTATCGCGCTGGAATCTGTCATTGTTCGTGTCTGTGTGCGAGTTTCAACCCCGTGTGCATGTGAGTGTGGGTGCGTGCGTGTGTGTGAATAGGGGCGTAGTGTTAGTGCCGGCGTGAATCACGCTTTCATGTCTCGCACGTCCAACGAGATAATGACGAGTGATCCGAGGTCGCTCTGCTTCCCTCTCTATCCCTTTCGCTGCATCTCTCTCCCTGTCTCTCTCTCTGTCCCTCTCTGCTCGCACCTCGGAGAGACGCCCTCCTGAGTGCAGCGACACTGCTCGGAATCATCCTGCAGGAGGTACGTAGACCGGGGACCGATTTCGGATTTGAGCCGGAGCGACCGCCTGCGTGTCAGGCAAACCCGGCGGCAGGCGCGCGCCGCGGGCTGGCCTACCAGCTTGTTCGCAGGCGCTTGCCGGCCGCCTGAGAGGTAGTCAAACCTTGCACCAAGCGTGCGCGGCGGGCTGGCCTATCCACTCGTTCACAGGCGCTCAGCTCCAACGCCAGACGCGTTTCAAGCTCCAGAGTCGCTAAAGAGAACTCGAACCGAACGTGTGACCCCACCAATAGATTCCTCCTTCGGAGAGCGATCCATTGGTGGGGTCACACGTTCGGTTCGAGGACTGTTTAGCGGCTCTGGAGTTCAATACGCGACTGGAGTTTCGGCCGCCCACGCCGGTCTTCTGGCCCACTGCGCGTGTTGGGAAGTTGAAGGAATACTCACGCAGAGCGCGCTGGCGACGGTGGTTGGCAGCCCTGGCGGAGCGGGCGGCGGCGCTGCCAGCGCGCGCGTACAGCTGGGCCACCCAGGGCCCGAAGCGGTTGTCGAAGACGGCCAGCACGACGGGCAGCAGGCACGCCTGCACCTCGCCGCCCCACAGCGCCAGGCCGTGCAGCGGCCACGAGGCCGGCACCGAGCCGGGCCGGATCAGCAGCGCGCAGCTCGCACCCTGCAACAACAACAACGCCGTCAAGCTGGGCGCAAAGGTCACTGTAAGAAAGTGGAGCGCAGAAAAATACACAAATTTTTTGTCGATTTGATTGTTTTTCTTTTTTACAGATGTGGTACGAATCGGAGGGCGTGGTGGAGAGCGTGTTGCGGTACAGAGTCGGTGATGGATACGGCGGATGGTGGATCTGAGATCCCGGATCTGAGTGATGATTCCTCGCCAGGTGAATGGTGTGTGCTGCGCCGCGTGCCACGCTGTGTGCACGCTGTGGGCGGGCACACTGTGGGGCCGGCGCGCCGCGGCGGTCGGGACGGATGGAAGCATGATGGCAGGTGAGGGAAGGAAACGGGTACGATGACGACGTCCGTAACGTTCGCGTGGGGGCGGGCTGCAGGCGGTCGCTCTGTCTCTCTCGCACCCGAGCGGGACGCGCCGTGGGTGCGAGAGAGACGGCCTCTCGGTCGGAATGAGTCTGCTGGCGGGGCAGGCTGGCTGCGGCAGGTTAGTTTGGGGCGGCTGGTGCTGCTGCTGCGATCCCGGAGGGGCCGCCGGGGGCTAAGCGGATAGAGAAGAGAGGCTAAGCGTGGAGCCGCGCCCCGCCCCGCCCCGCCCCGCCCACTCCGTCGCGCTTCGGACCTATCTAGGCCCGCCCCTCCCTCCCTGCGTGCGCGCTGCGCGTCTTATCGGCCGCTGATGGAAAAATCCATTTCGGTCGGAACATCTGCCGTCTGGCTGCCTGGCTGCTCAGTGCGCGCGCGGCCGGGTCACGTGGTGTGCACCCCCCCACCCCTAACAGTGGAGGCACCACTCGGATCGCTCATTTGCAAAGCCAATGCAGCCTCTTCCTGGCACGCTGCCGGCCGCCATGTCCTTGGCGAGGGCCTCGTTGACGGCCTCGACGACGACCTCGGCGACGACCTCGGCGACGTCCGCCTTGGCCATCGACGTCAAGGTGCACGGCCGCTGCAGTCGGTCCGTCTTTCCCGTCGGTCACGCTGAGGTGAGCTGAGGCCAGCGGGGCCCCCCCCCCCTTCACACTATTCGCACGTCATTTCCACAGTGGCGCGACCGGCCCTTTCGCTGCGGGGTCTTCTTGTCCCACAGGATTGAATCCCCGCCCTTTCCTACACCGCCAGACTCCCTGCCGTCCTGCCCCGGGACACCATGATATACACACAGGAGCGCACACGGCCCTGGCCCTGGCGCCGGTCACCCGCGGCGTCCCGCGTCGCGCGTCCCGCAGCCAAGCGGCGAACGGCACGCCACTGCTAAACCTGCAAAGCGTACAACTACGCCGGAAGACCGCTCGCACGAAATCCAAAACGGCCAAGCCGCAATTTTTTCCCTCTTTTCATTTGTTTTTGTTTCGCCTATAAGCAGAAACGAAAAGCACCGATAATTGAGACGGATGCTCGATACGCGTGGTTTAACCATCCGGGCCGCGTCCGCTCCCCGACCAAACACGCCGCGCCGCCCCCAACTTTCTGGAGGGGCGTTCAAATTAGTCAGCCGTCTCGCGTGGACAGGCTTTCGCATCGGCTTTCGCGCACACCCGCCTCCCACCCGAGGCACGCGGCAGCTACCGTCGTTAGGTCGGACAGATTCGTTGATGAATAAGAGGAAAGACTCCCGACGGACGCAAAGTACGGAGTTCGTTATCATGTTTTGCGATGAAACTCAAATTTTACAGCGCAGTTCACCTGTCCTGGGCAGAGCACACCACTCGGGGTGCAGCGCAGATTAAAACCGGAGGCGACCTTCTCTGCGGACTACCCCCATCCCCCTTTCTCTCTCTCTCTCTCTCTCTCTCTCTCTCTCTCTCTCTCTCCTCTCTCTCTCTCTCTCTCTCTGTCCGAATCTCTGCATCGTCGGACGCGCCAAAGCCACCGAGCGCCCCAAAGCCCTGCATTTGCAAAGCCCGGCGAGGTGTACAGTGTACACGCCACCACTGCAGACGCTGCAGCCCCCCCCCCTCTCCAGGGGTTGCGCCACGTGCCGGCTCTCCATAGAGAGACGAGACAAGGACGGAGAATCGGAAATCTCGAACGTCGCTTCGAGTCCAGTGGGTCTTTGGCGCGCCGCCGCCACTGTAGGGACTCGGCGCGCTCGCGTCACTTTGACGTGGATGTGTTAGCCGCCCTTTTAATTTTGAATGAAGCGCCGTGCCCTTCGAACGGGAGGCGGAGAGAGATAGAGAGAGAGAGAGAGAGAGAGAGAGAGAGAGAGAGAGAGAGAGAGAGAGAGAGAGAGAGGGGGGGGGGGGGCAGTGGAGGAAGGACCGAGCGTGTGTGCAGGCTCCGCCATCCTCAAGCCCAAGCCGAGGGACCCAAGCCGCCCCTGCCTCCGCGGGGGTCCCGCCCGGTCCCGCCCGGTTCAGCATTAGCCTAGACGTTAGGTCGTAAAAGACGGAGTGGAGTGGGCCGGTTTTGCGGCCGCCCCCGCGGGGCCCCGGACCAGCCCGGCCCGGCCAGCCCGAACACGGTACGAGGGGCCGTGGCGTGGCGGGCCGCGGAGGTGGGTGTGGTGGTGGCCGGGGACGGGAAGAGGCCACGCAAGGGTTTAAATCTAATTCATCGAGAACATACCGCGACGGGACTAGGGGCCCCCAATCCGCACACAACGGGGACCGGGGTTACTTGGGTTTGCGCTTGCCTAAAAATGTGCGTGTGTGTGTGTGTGTGTGTGTGTGAGAGAGAGTGTGTGTGTGTGTGTGCGCGCGCGCGCGTCTGTGTGTGTGTGTGTGTGGGGGGGGGGGATGCGCCCGCTCTTTCATCCCCGCCTCGCTGCCGCCTTTGTGAGTCAGTCTGCACGATATGTCCACCTGGACTGCTGTTGCTGTTGTGTGTGCAGCCCGGGAGGGACCTACCCCCACCCCCTCTCCTCCGTCCTCCCCCAGGCCGCTTAGCCTCGCAGCCAGCCAGACGGCCTGCCGAGCGATCCCGCGGAGCTTTTCTCGCTCTGTCTCTCTCGCACTTCCAGGGTGTCCCGCGGGGGTGCGAGAGAGACAGAGCGACGCGAAGGTTTTTCGGACCCGGCTCGCGGCATGGAAGTCTGCCCGCCTTCCTCATTCGCATTCACAGCTAGACGCGCCGACGAAATGACGTCGTCTCAAACAAAACAAAGGGCGGGCGGGGCGGGGCGGGCCTTTCAGTGTAGGGACGCGCCGTTTTTCTCTCTTCGTTTCACTCCACGTGTCCGTCGCTGCTCCCCCCCCCTTTCTTTCTCTCTTTCTCTCTCTCTCTATCTCTCTCTCTCTCTCGCCCTCCCTCCCTCGCACACACAGCTACCTTGGCCTTGGCCCTTCCCTCTTCGCATCGAAAAATTCATCACTTTGCTTCGAAACAAAACACTAGAGCCAGTAAATTTCAAGGAGAAACAAAAACAGAGGGTAAAATGTAGATCAACAGGTGAAAGTTTACATCATTTCGTTTTGAACTGAATTGACACACCGCGAAAACGTCGACGAGGGTCGTTTGGAGTCTGGAGCCGATCAGAACTTTATTTTTCATCGAATGCGGCCGTGAAGAGGGAGTCCTGCAGGAAAGCGTCCTGCACCTCCCGGACTTGAATAAGCGAGGCGAGGAGACGAAAAAGAGGGAAATAAGAAAGAGAGAGCGCTGGTCGTTAAGACGGCTGGGCTAATACCGATGACATGGTAATTCCTCGTGGGCTGACACATTTTTCAGGTCCCCGGCTGCGGCTCCAGGCGCCCTTAGGCCCTTCCAGCATGCTAATCTGGAGCGTCCGTCTTGCCCTGAAGGCCTAAAGGACCTAAACCACCGCGAGCCCAATGATTATTCACTTCTGTAATTGCCGGAATCAGTCGCTACTTCCGCTGCCGGCTTTCTCAATGATTACCCAGGTCTAAAAATCCGCTCTGTTGACAGCGGATCCGGTTTGGTTGGAGCGGATCCGCTGCGACTTTACGGGATCCACTGCGGCCGTAGTGGATCCTCTAAGTGCTTAGTGGATCCTCTATGGGGTCACAGCGGATCCGCTTGGGCCACACCGGATCCTCTACGATCCGCAGAGGAGAGGATCCGGTGAGTACAGGATCCATTAAGCCATACCGGATCCAATGAGCGCTTACCGGATCCACTAACCTAAGCGGATCCACTGTGAGTTTTCCAAAATGAAGTGGCTATAAACTCCAAAGTTTTAGGAATTTTGACCTCAAAATTTATACAGGGTATATTGAAGAGAATTCACTAGGGCCATTTGAATTTCATTGCAATCGAACAACTTGATATCGCTATCTTGTAAACCGCTGATGATAGCGAGAAACGGATTGCAGATTTGGATCGGACTCGGTTTCATTATGCAGGAGTTCACTTTTCAAAATTCAAATCCCTTTGGTAGTTTTCCAAATAAAGATTTCATGTTTGTTTAGAGGATCCACTAAGATCATAATAGATCCGCTTAGGCCATCCGCTGTGGTGACCGCATCCGCTTTGGTGACACCGGATCCGCTGTGGTGACAACCGGATCCGCTGTAATGACAGTGGATCCGCTACTAAGGGGTAGAATTCGCGTCCGCTTAGAACGGGATCCGCTACCACTCACCGGATCCGCTTCGATACCGGATCCTGTATAAAAGCGGATCCGGTGTGCGGTAGCGGATCCCGTTCTAAGCGGACGCGAATTCTACCCCTAAGTAGCGGATTTTTAGACCTGGGTACAGCACACTGTGGAGTGGGCCGGAAGACCAGCGCAGGCGGCCGAAACTCTCGACGCGTTTTGAGCTCCAGAGTCGATAAACAGGGCTCGAACCGAGCGTGTGACCCCACCAATGGATTCCTCGTTCGGAGAGCAATCCATTGGTGGG